ACTGAAGCGCCCATATTGCCCAATGTAGACACATGCCCCAACATGCATGCATGCGTACATACATGTATACGTATACACACACATACATAGATATATATATATATATATATATATATATATATATATATATATATATATATAAATACATTTCACTTTCACTTTCAGAGGCGATGAATCCTGGTCGGATGCAGCCTTGTGGCTTGCAGGTTAATTAGGGTGAAAGAAGCGGAAAAGCTCGCCAACGTCGGGAAAGTTGGAAAGGAGCCTCAAGCCAAAAATCTCGGTCTGGTGGTTCGCCAGTCGACACAACGCAGCAAGGCCAGGGCAGACAATGTCAGGGCAAAGGAGAAAGGCAGGCTGGCCAGAAAGCCTACATACATACATATGTACACACACACACATACGTGCCTGCGTGCCTGCCTACCTACTTACCTGCTTACCCACCTACAGATCTACCTACCTACCTATATACTTACACACGGACAGACAGACAGACAGACCCACACGCACACGCACACGCACACTTGCAAACTCTCTTGCGAGAGTAGCTAGACAGGGGTTACCATCACTTGGAACAATTAAACAGTTCATGACTGCTGCAGGTACGTTTACACGAGCACCGAGTGAGGGTCTTCGTTGGCCCGGACCGCACTCGGGCTCTCCGGGCCCCTGCTTGTACCCTTTGTTATCAGGGTGTCACACACACAGCTACTCCCCAGTTTTGGGGAGTAGTGGAAAAATGAAGGTCATCAGATGGTTCGCAGGTCAATGCCGCAGCCCCATCTGATGCCTGCTTGGTTTGGGCTCACCATGACGTTTCGCAGGTCAAAGCCGCAGCCACGACAAGGTGCCCTTGAAAAAAGCGTCATCGGGGGTACGGGTCCTGCCCCATTGAGGCTTGGGTCCTGGCCTCCCGTACTGTCGTCAGGGGTACGGGTCCTGCCCCTTTTTTTTTGTTAAGGCTTGGGTCCTGGCATTTTGCCGATACAGAAGTATCGAATCATTCAAGTAATACATGCTTTTATGCTCGGCCCTTGCTTTGCATTGGGGAAGCGGAAAAAGGAAAAGGAAAAGGAAAAGACAAAGGCTTTGCAGGAAGGCGGGCGGTTGGCTGTGTAGCCTTAAAGCGTAACAGCAACGTAAACGAAAAGTAAAGGAGCTGCAGCTGGAGGCAGCCTTTTGGGCTTGGAAAAGCTTCTGGATTCGAGCATTGAAAAAGAAAAGAAATGTGACTGCGAAACGACACATGCGGAAAAAGAAAAGGTAAGGGGTGGCCCACATTGGGCACTTCAAACCCCGTTAGAGGACTGCGCTCGCAGTTCGCAGGTCTTACAGAAAGCCGCAGCCCTGCAGCGCATGTCCTATTAATACGGTCAAGCATCCACAATTCGCAGGTCTTACCGAAAAGCCGCAGCCCTGCGGTGCTTGCCGACCGACAGCTGAAATTCTTTGCGCTGGTCGAAGATATACTCACAAAAGTGAGAATTTTGGGAAGTAGCATGCAATTCGTCGTCTGGGGGTCACCATGACGTTTCGCAGGTCAACCCTGCAGCCACGTCATGGTGCCCTTGAAAAAATGCGTCGTCTGGGGTAAGGGTCCTGCCCCATTGAGGCTTGGGTCCTGGCCTCTTGCAATGCGTCGATCAAGGAATCATCCAAGAAATCATTCAAGAAGTCATTCAAGAAGTCAGTCAAGTGGAAAAGAATCAAGAAGTCATTCAATGTATCAGCGCATTCGAAGATTTGTCGAATCAAGAAGCTGCGAATCAAGAAGCGGCGTTCAATGTCTTGAACAGTTGTATCAAGAAATCAAGCAGTTGCTACGCCCGGCCCTTTGACAGAATGCCGGTCGAGAACACACACTTGCAAACTCTCTTGCGAGAGTAGCTAGACAGGGGTTACCATCACTTGGAACAATTAAACAGTTCATGACTGCTGCAGGAACGTTTACACGAGCACCGAGTGAGGGTCTTCGTTGGCCCGGACCTCACTCGGGCTCTCCGGGCCCCCTGCTTGTACCCTTTGTTATCAGGGTGTCACACGCACACGCACACGCACACGCACACGCACACGCACACGCACGCGCACACACGCACACGCACACACGCACACGCACACGCACATGCACTCATCCATGCATCCATCCGTCCATGCGTCCATCCATCAAGCCATCCAACCATGCATACTTGCACATATTCATCCTGACGCCAGGATCCCTCCCCTAGCCGAGCCACGCCTGACATCGGACCGCCGCGGACGCCGCCTTCGCGGGTTCGCACACCTGCATGGGAGCAAAAAGGGCTGGTCGCAAGGTTTGGGAACTCAAGTGCGGCTTATAGGTTTTATGAGGACTTGAGACCCGAACCCTGACGCCCAAAATTTAAACCGTAAGTCCGCAGCATTAGCTCCAACATCATTTGACACTAAACCGGAAAACCCCTAACCCTAAAAGCCTTGAGCCCGGAAACGCAGACCCCAGGAGCGTCATCGTTCGATCCTGGCTTTGGCGGAGCATGGAGGCAAAGCTTGTGATGGCCCTACTCTCAGCTTTCAAGTGCGGGATTTGCAGGAGGGTTGATGGTTCAGGGTGGAGGGCAGTGTTCAGGTGTTGTTCTGGTTATTTGTCATCAAGATTTGTCCCTGTATTTATTGGTGAAAGCATGCTGGTGAAGTATTGAATTAGATGAGGCTTTCGACTTGCACTCTGATAAAAGCCTCCAATCTGCGAGCTCTAGAGTTGGAACTCCAGACACTGCAGTACAAAGCATGCTAACATCCCATTCGATGTCATATCCTGCATGTCTAGAGGCACCAAGGGCTCGGGTTTCAGTTTAGAGAAGGACTTGCTCACCGCTGCATGGAGGCGGCCGCGAGATCATGGGTTTCTCCTGGGTTTTAAAACGTTCTGGAGGACGCCTCAGAGCAGAAATCTGGTTCGTATAGGCGGTGATGCAGGCAAAGTCCGCAAGACCGTCATGGTGAATAGTGTTCCCCAAGCCTGTAAAAGGAGTAGTGTTCGTGCAGCTGCGATGCGCTGCTCTCAGGACCGGAGAGGGTCGTCAGGACCCGCCCTTGCTCTCACATGTGCCACTTGCTTCTTGATCTGTTATGTCTCATCATTCTTAGGGGTACTTAGAAATAATGTTTAATTTTGGTTATTGTAACCCCTAAGAAACAGCTAAAATTGTAATTTTTGCTAGGGTTCTAAGTTCAGTATAGCATTGGTTCCGTTTGACCGGAGATGTGTTGACAGTTCCAAGAGTGGAGGGAACTCGGCATGTTAGCTGTGGCTTGTCTCATCTACCTGTAGTCTCCATTGTAGTTCCTTTTTTTGGTTAACCAGTTTTATGGTTAGGACCCTATAATAGAGATTTTGGTAAACCAAAGAAAAGAACTACAATGGTACTTTGAAGAGCACCTCGACACCTTGGCCTGAGTATTTCCGCCGTTGATGTGCATCCTTTGCCGAGCACATGAGCCTGCAAGCTATAAGGTTGCGTACACGAGCAATCGATCATAATGGTGACCATTTACCACCCCAACCTGCGCCAATGCCATGCAGCCATTTGGTGTAGCTACCTGCACCCCTGGTCCTTGCACCCCCCTTCCCCTCCCCCCTCGCACACCGCAAGTCAGAACCGGCAGTGCAGGATTTGCTTCAGCTATTCAGGGTGCGAGAAAGTTGGGTAGTGACATAGGCTGTCAGGGTGCTGGCACCGTAGAGCAGGGCTTCAAAGCTCCAGAAAAGCTCATGTCCGGACAAACCCTGGATGATGGAACGGAGGCAGGGCGAGCCTTACAGTAGGGTCTTTTCTGTGGTTTGGAAAAGATTCTTCAAGCTCAGACAGATCCTTCGGGACTTCAGAGTTTGGGGCTTTGGGCCTTCAGGTGTTTTAGTAGTTGATTAGTGAGTGGTGGTCTCGTGGTTCATGAGGTACTGTTCCGGTGATTCCATGATTCGGGTTGCGTAGTAGCTGGGGGATTAAGGTTCTGACTATGGTTCGGTTGATGATATAAATCCTGCATTACCCATGATAAGGAATATACCATAATTTCCATAGTTTAGGGCTTAGGGTCCTTAAGGTAATGCAGGATTTAGATCATCAACCGTTCCGGTACAAGCATTGAGAGGTTTAGAGACAGCTGTTAGTTTCAGCTGCAACTAACCCGGGCACGAACCCCAATATAGGGGCCCAAAGTAATTACCTATACTCTTTTGGGGTTTCGTTAGTATAATTATGGTATACTATACCCCGAAATCCTATTCTAACGGTTAATGCCCCTATATTACCCCATTAACCCAAAGACCTTTCGATCGGGTTTTAGGGTTCGATGCAAGTCACCCGGCCGTCCCGGAAGGTGGCAATCCCGTTACCCGGCAGTTGGTCGGTCGGGGCCTCGTGCATGATGGTTTAGGGTGTAAGGGTTTAAGGTAAGAACCGTTGGCGGGAGCATTCTAGGCATTCTTATCGGAGGTCTAGACATTTCGGTCGTCTTTCTTCGATTTCTTGTTGGCTCCGCTAGGTTCTGAGTTCATGGTTCGAAACGCCGAGCCACAGAATGACATTCAGGGCCTTTGGTTCCACAACTCATGGTTGCTGCAAGTTCATTACGAATGGAACCATTGACCATGTATCGTGAATCCCAAGTATAGCCAAATCCCCGATCCCTGCAACCCTGAGCCAAAACTTCAGCCCAATCTGACTCATCGTGCTGTTTGGGCATCTTCCCTAAAGCACATGGGTAGCTCCAAAATGGTTCGTGGTCTCTGTGTTTGGACCAGATTTCCTGAATGCTAGCACTGGAGCCTGAAGCCCTCACTGACCCTGAGAGCTAAATCTCGTCAAACGGTCCTACGGATCATGGGACTTAGTAAGGAAGGTTATAAGTACCTTAATTGGGGTTATAAGTAGTTAAAAAGTATAGTTACCTTATTTATAACCCCACTTACTAAGTCCCATGATCCTTCAAGTACAACAACCGTATCGCTTCAATCCGAGGACAGCGACGATGAGACGGAGGATAGAGCTATTCAGACCCCGGCACCCGCGGCCACGCAGGTGGCTCGGCCGAAATCATCTGGGTGGTTGTCAAAATTATGGTCCCTTTTTGGCCCCGATCCCTAAACCCTAATCCCTAAACCCTAAAAACCCTTAAGGTTAAGTTAAGGTCTTGCATGCCACATAACACTGGTAAATCTTCTCGAAGGCCGGGGAGTTGGAGCATAGGAGCGGGAATATTCTGCTCCACTTCTCACGTTTGTTAGCTTTAGGGGAGGGGGAGGATGATGTTGCAACTTTCTGGCCTCTGCTGTGACATCGGCATTTTGTGATGTCGGCTACATACTTCGCATATCCGCAGTGACAGGGACAGTGGCAACTAGACAGCTAGTGTCTCTGGCACTAATTCCAGGAAGGTTACTTGAATAGCGGAGCTTGTAGGTCATTGCTGCTGGAGTTGTTCTGCGCTTTTGTTGATCGCCCATTGCTAGTATGGTTGCTACTGATATGCTCGTATCTACCGTTGTCTACCAGTAGTGTTGCTACACGCAGTGTCAGGGAGAAAGGTCATAGGCTCAGAAATAACCTGAGGGTCCATGTGCCAAATAGCACATTAGTATATACTTTGACCATAAACCTACATAGGGGAGTACTTTAAGGCCAAAGTGTATGTGTGCATGTGTGTATATATATATATACATACATATATATATATATATATATATATGTATACATGTGTGTATACATGTCTATATGTATAAGAATTAATATATATATATATATATATACACACTCATGCATGTGTGTATATATATATATACAGAGCGAGGAAGAGGAAGAGGGAGAGAGAGAGAGAGAGAGAGAGAGAGAGATGTGTGTGTGTGTGCGTGCGTGCGTGCGTGTGTGCGTGGGTGTGTGTGTGTGTGTGTGTGTGTGTGTTTGTTTGCGTGTGTGTGTGTGTGCATGCCCATTTCAATATGCGCATGATAGTGAGTTTGGGAATGGCTGTGATCATATATCTGGTTACGATTCATTACGTTAACCATGAGAAGAATGTTACGTTCGAGGCTCTTCTTACTATTGCTGACTGCTGGACGATGCACTAATGTTGCCGTGATGAAAATAGGGGCCTATAATACTGACCCTGACCTATACTATTGCGGGGATTCCCTATTCTAATCATAGTATATTGGGCCGCAAGACCGTATTCTAATTATTAAGGCCCCCTATATTTGTTGTGTCGCTCCCTCCCAGGCGCTAGCCATATTGGCGGCGGCTCCCGGACACGACCACGGCCGGAGGGACTTGGCGAATGCAGAAGGCAGGGGTGCTGGGGATTTGGGGACTCACAGAGCTACTTAAAGGATCATGGGACTTAGTAACTCGGGTTATACTTAAGGTAACTATACTTATAATTACTTATAGCCCCAATTAAGGTACCTATAACCCCACTTACTAAGTACCATGATCCTCCACGTAGGTAGGCCCTTTGGGAGGTTTTCGAAAACCGCTGCCAGGAAATCAGGCCGGAAGTGCTTGCTTATTGGGTACAAGAGCCCTAGCCTGGAACCGTAAACCCCGAAACCCTAAACCCCGAAACCGTGTCATGACCTCTATAAACCCTAAACCACTAAACCCTACTGTACCCTTAAACCCGAACCCCAAACCCCGAATCCCTAAATCTATCTTTACACGAGTTCATTGGGAGCTCAATGGAAGTTCCAAACTTTGCCCTATTGGGCCCCCCATATTCATCAATGTTGCTTGTCAGAGAGGTAGGTGTTTAGAGGGGTTTGCGCGTGCAGCTCAAAAGGATGCCTTAAGCACAACGGGCTTTTGGCTGTTGGCGCCTTAGTCGTGTTTACGGGACTTTAGCGTGTAGCTTCAATAGAGGGCTGCTTGGGGCTTCATTGGTATAGTTCTTTGCAGAGGTCAGAGATCCCAGACCCTCAACCTTGAACCCTAAAGCCAAATAGCCCTCAGTTTAGGGGTTTAGGATTTGGGGTCTTAGCCCTCGAAGCCTACGGAGTCTAGGTGAGTGTGTTCATTGCGATGGTTCTTCTTCTGTGTCACTCCTGGGATTCGGTTCGGGAATATGTCATCTGCAAGACCATCAAGAAAACCAGAACATGAAGCCTTAAATAATCTCTAACCCTAAACCCTAAACCATAAACCATTTTCCATAAAACCTGAACCCTAAACCCTAAACCCTTAAATAATCTCTAAGCCCTCAGCCGTAAACTTGCCCGAAACCCCAACCTGGATCCTATGCAGCTCGCTCCCTTTGGGGCGAGTCGCCTGCAACAGTAGGTATCCTTTAACCTTTCGGGGCTTCTGCAATCCTACTATAATTCAAAAGTTAAAGGCTATCTGTTTTTGGGCTAGGGCCAGGGTACTCAGCCCGTACGCAACACAACCGTCAGCAGTGGTTTTGTCTGCAGGCCCGGGTGCAGACCTAGCTGCCTTCGCCGCAGCGGTGCCGGCGCCCGGTACGGAAGTCGAGGTGGCAGAATTCACGAATCATTAATCATTAATCCCTAATCCCTAATCATTGAGGTTTAGGGTTTAGGGCGGGGCCTGGAGACTTAGAGCAGGGAACCCTCGAAGATGGTTCTATAAGAGCTGCTATAGAAAAGGGCCTGCCTAGACGGAATAGCGGCTTGGAGTAGGTTCTATACCACTACCATGTGGAATTACTGATTTCTTCTTGTGGCGATCCGGATTTCGGGTTGGTCTGAGCTAAAACCATCTTCAAATCTGAAGATGCAGCCCCACCCTTGCTGATTACTGTCCCTTGCACCCCCGCCGGCGCTTCTAGGATCCCCGGGTACTTCCTTGATGAGGGCCATCAGGGCCATAGTTGGTGTATCATCCTACTCCTATAGACCCCTGAAAGCCATGAAGCACCGTCCGAGACAAGCCCAGCACTGCCGCAGGTTGTGGATTGCCAGAACCCTAGCCAAGTCTGGGGCGATTCTTGTAATTTACTGGCCTTGCTTTATTGTCATCGCTACTAGTTCGTACTTACTGCTGCTAGGCTTGCGTGCTCGTTCTGGTGCTCTCCACTGCTCCTGCTGCTGCATATAGGTAGTTATTTAGGCCCCTTTTCTGGCAGCTAGTTGTTGCCAATTCATGCTTGCAGTGAACGTTGTCGGGGCTCAGGGTCCAGGAGTCCAATATCTCTGATTACAAGGCTTTTCTGTGGTGTCTTACAAGGTTCACTCGAACTGGCTTGGCCCAAAGTCCTACTGCCCCATGCATTTCACCAAGAGCATCCTGTAGACGCAGAGAAACCACCTGAATTCTCAAATTACCTCAACCAAATTCGAAGTCAAGTAGACATCCGAGTGCCAGTGCTTCATATGATTCGCCGGAGTTTCAAACGATTGAGTCTGGTTGGACCCGACAGAATGTAGCATAATCAGTGATCGTGGAATGATCTGAAGTTTTCCGTCAACCCTGATCACTAAATCCTGTAGCCTGAACCCTGAAGCCCAAACCCTAAACCCTCGCCGACCCATTCAGAATCCCCCCCCCCTGTCGCCTTGTTTCGGCTGCAGCCTGTACAGTACAGACTGAGAGACTTCAAGAGCCCGCGCCTTCCCCAGAGTTCTGAGCCGCGCTTCCAATGGCGTTCAAAGCGGCTTCTCTCTTGGTTCTCTTGGCGCTCGCGGTGAAGGCAGCTGCTTGGCTCAAATTTGGATTTCAGCGTTTAGGGTGTAGGGTTTTAAACCCGTTTTGGGGTGAAGGCAGCTCTTGTCAGACTTTTAGAGGTCGGAAGAAACACTGCTGTCCCCAACAAGGCCCTGAATGAACATAGTATGGTGTACCTTAGATACTGCCCCCATACAGTAAGAGTCTATAGTAGGGCTACCATTAAGGTCCTAAAGAATCTATATTATGAATATTGTTCAACTATTTACTGAGTGGGGGCCGTACCCAAGGTGTGCCCCAAAGTATCTCAACTTCCAGCGACTGTTGGGCTTATGACTATTTCGGACACCTGGGAATTGATCGAACTGCTTCTGTTCATGTTTTTGGCAGGGGTGTTCTTTCTGGTCTGCCCGAATGATCCTGTAGGATACCTCGAAGCAGAGCAGTTAAGAACCAGGCAGAAGCCCACAAGGTTTCGCTCAGCAAGAGCCCAGGCCGCCCGAAGTCCCGACATGTCCTGGATATCTTGCTATTTGGGCTTTAGAGTCTGCGGTAGGCCGGGGATGTATAGAACTGGAATGAATGTGTCCGGTTTCCGGATTGGAATTATTGGCTGAGCTAGGGCTTTACATTCATGTTCGGGTTGCTTCTCGCAGATTCCTGACGGCCTGGAGTGAAGCACCAACTCCCTATCCTCGTCTTCCCGGTTTAGGGTTCAGGGTTCCGATGAATACAGCACATAGCAAGAAAGGAGCCGGATCAACCTGAAAGGTCATAAAGCCCACTAAGCCAACTGAAGCCCAAACCCGTTTTGAAGTTCGTCCGATCCCAGGACTTTGCCCTTAACTTCCGAAAGTCCTAAAGCAGAAGCTCCCAACGAACAAGGAAGATGTCGACGAGGACATGATCCGGGTGCCTTTGAAGAAGGACCTGCGGCTGAAACGCACAGAAAAGCATCACCGTGGATACCGCATGGGCGTTAAAAATAAACTATAGTATTTTGGGGGCTCCGTACTATGAGTAAGTATAATGGGCCCCAAAACCCAGTTCTAATTGTCAGGCCCCTATATTAGTTGAGTGGGGGGTTATTTGGGCCTCGGAGAATTTGCTTGGGCTTCGGGTCTAGAGTAGGGCGCAAAGACTGTGGGTTGGTAAATGCAGCAATATTATACACGCTGAATAGTACGTAATCTTTTGGTTAAAGATAAACGATAAACTCACAATCAAAAAACTGGAAATATGAAAGAGTGGTTGGAAGACTTGCCTCAAACAAATCCTGAGCAGGGCGGCCGTTTCAGAGCTGGACCTCTTGGTGTGTTCTAGCGCTTGAGCTCCTGACGGGGATGTCCATCCCTATAACTGTAAAGGGAACTCCAGAAAGTTGGAATATGGATTAATGGTAAGATCCCCTATAATAAGCCCATAAAGGGCTTAGGATAATGATATTCCAACTTTCTGGCTTCTACTGTACTCCCCCATGTTAAGTAGACGTAGGTTTCAGGGCGACAGGCAAAGCCTGAACCCAGAGGCCCTTAACCTGATACCGTAAGCCCGAGAACCTAATCCTTCTCAACCCTCATTCCTAAACAGGGAACCCCTGAATCCCAAACCCTTCAACCCTAAACCCTGAACTCCTTAAACCCTGAACCCCCTGAGCCCTAACCACAGGAGAGACGTGACCTCCACCAGCAAGCTCGGTCTGCAGAGCTGCCACTGGTCGCAAGTATGGGCTTGTAGTATAGGCTTAGTAGCTGAGTGGATACACTTTACTTTTCTGGGATAATATTACCCACTATAAAACTGAAAGTGTACAGTTTTGGGGGTTTATGAACTCAGCAAGGGCTTAGGGTTGTGACGTCCAATACTATGAGTAGTACCACCACAAATACCAGAACCAATACGAATACGAATGCTAATACTAATACGAATACGCTTATGAGTACTAATACCAATACTAGTACTAGTACAAATACCAATATTTTAGTACTAGTACTACTACCAATGCTAATACTGCTTCTAGTACTGGCTATGACAACAAATGCAGTAATAGCAGTAATAACAACATGAACAGTCACGATACCAATATTGCGTAGTAAAATCTACATCAAGAGGAGCAAAACCGAACCGATAATCCGAGGAGTACTCCTAAACCCCCATCCCTAAAACACTGAAGCCCTACAACCCGAATCCCTGAATTCGAAACCCCAAACCTAAAACTCTAATCCCAAAACCCTTACCCCAAAAGTCCTCAAAACTCGAAGCCCCCAAACCCTAAACCCCAAACCCTCAAACTCCTAAAACCCTAAAATTCGAGGAGTGCTGCGACCTGGGAGGAGCGCGAGGCGGCGCTTGGGTCTTCAGGCGGGCTGGGGTTCGCGGGGGGGAGACTCCTGCTTCTATAGGGACCTCTCTCAGAAAGTTGGAACATGGTTTCAGGGTGGGATACCTTATAATTTACCATAAAGGGTTTAGGATAATCATATTCCAACTTTCTGGCTTTTACTATAGGATGATTGGGGTTTAGAAGTTTAGCGTATAGGGATTAAAGGGTTTAGCGTGTAGGGTTTCTTTATGGCGTCTAGGGTTAGGATTCTGAAACAGTCACTCTTCTGATGGTGGCTTTTACAGGCAGTGCTGTAATATGGTCCACAAACGACATCTGGCGTATCGAGCGGCTCTTTCTCAGACTCATCCCTGACAATCTTGTCATTCCGTTTTCAGAAGCTCTGCCTGATGACCATGTCGACCTGTTTTGAACTGCTTTGACAATCTTATGCTCAGAGTATACAGGTTCATGTTACTTGTCCAGGGCCGTCAGAAGAATTCAGAATCTTCACATTTCTGTCCTCCCTCTTCTCGAAGTGCAAACGGTCTGGTTATTTTCGCAGGGTAGGGGGTGTGGGTATAGTGAGGGGCTTGGGTGTTTGAGAGGTTTTAGTGATCGGAATGTAGCCTCCATACTGCATACTCGGCACTGTCGAGTGCGCGCGACTCTCAAAATCACGATCTCCTTCCTACATACTTTCTAAGATGTCCTTAAACACTGAACTCCCTAAACTCCTTATCTAGAATCCCTGAACCATAGAATTCCTAGCCTGAACCATAGAGTGCCCACACTCCCTGAAATTCTCCCAGACCCAAGAATGTAGCATCTTTCTTGGATGACAGATTTTATTTTCAGGATATTAGAGAAAGAAACGATATAAGATAACCAAACAGAGGCACTGCATTCCCGGGGGCCCTGAACCCCAAAGCCTAAACCCTGTGGAGAGGTGGCACTGCTCAACTCACACTGCGGAATCAGTTGAATGCGCAGTATGCAGGCGGATCAGTGGGGTCGGCTCATGAGCCCAGCCCATAAGGCTACGCCCATCTAGCTGCGGCTTCGGGCTTGGTGTGTCGAGTTTAGCGGTTCAGGCTTTAGGGGTTTAGGGAGAAGGGGTTTAGTTGTGCAGGCATAGGGGGTTTATCTGTTTGCAGCCCGGCTGTCTAAATATCTCCACTTGAGCCGGTAGTCGAGAGGCTCCGCCCAGGGCGACTAGAATACCGAATCCGGGAACGATGCGACACCCAGGACCGATCACGAAGCAACCCTAAGCGCTGCTGCTTGGCTACTTCTTCGAATAGTAGTAACTACCAGCAGCAGCAACAGTGGCATTGACACTGGGCAGTACCAGACGGAAACAGTATGGTTGACGATCTTAAGGATGGTATAACAACTGTGTGTCAGCAGAGAGCCCACAACATAAGAGACGAAACTGCGATGCCTGTTATTGCTTGAATCAAAGACTTCCTCACAAGCTGAACCGTATCGCTTCCTCGTAAGGAAACCCCTCACCCCCAGCTGCAGGCGTGATTGAAGTTGGCACGCCGGGGCAGCAGATCAAGGCCGCCTTGCCTGCGCAGTGATGGGTGGGTGCTTGTTATACGGGGCCCAAATAATTACCAGTACTATTCTGGTGATTCCTCATAACAGTTATAGTATAGTATACCCCAACACCATATTCTGTCACTAAGGCCCGTATATTGGGCGGGTGCCCAAAACTCTAAACCCTAAATTTTGAAGCCTCGGCCCTAGCAGTAATCTATCAGTGTTTCGGGATTTTAGACGTTTAGGGCTTCAAGGGCGAGATGTCGGGGCTTCAAGGGTTCATGTTTTGAAGCGTTTATCTTCGGGGTTTAAGGGTTGTCGGCTTCTGGGGTGTACAGTGATCCCCATAAAGTTGGAAACCGGATTAAGGCCAAATAGTGCTGGGATTCCCTATACTATACGTTATACTCTTAGGGATCGAGGCTACGGGGTTTCCAACTTTTGGGCTTCTACTATAGGGCTTTAAGGATGGGGCTTTAAGTTCTCTTCGACATTTGGCCTAAGGAGGCATCAGGGCATGGCTTAGGGCACAGTGTTTAGACGGAACCGAGCTGTTACCTTGAAGCTAGAGCGATCCGTACTATCTACATCATTTTCTTAACTTCATGTCTAACTTGCCCAACTCTGGGAATCGACTTTGCACCTTGTTCCATGCCTCAAGTATCTGGTGATTCCGGCTTTACCCATAAGCCCGCTAAGCCCTAACCCTAAACCTTAAACCGTTATGCTGCTCGTGTCTCTGGTGGAGTTTATGAGCCTGAGTTTTTTGGGGTAGCGGGTCGACTGTCACCGCGAACCTCCCAAACTACCCTCTGCAAGGGCCTTCGTAATCCGAAACAGTAGAAATTCGATCTTGCGGTAGGTGGTAGGTGGGGCCCCAGATCCCAACACCCTCATCACTAAACCCAAGCATCCCTATAAACATTAAACCCAAAAGTGGGGGTCTGCCCAACATGGCCTGACCTTGATCAGCTTCGAAGGTTCTCTTCGACACGGGCTCTTCGAACTTGTGCCTCTTCGGTCGTTTGGGGTCGTGGAGAAGTGAGGTTTGGGGTTTAGGGGTTTAGAGTTTAGCGCTTGGGGTCTGGGGTTTAGGGGCCAGGGGCTATGAGTGCTAGTTCGGTGTCGACGGGAAGAGTCTTGCGCGCCAGGTTTTCGGTCAAAGCATGCTGGGGTTGGTGCGGGTCCTGGGTTCAGGGTTTAGGGTATCAGGGCAACTTGGGACGACGATCGTGATGCTTGTGTTGCTCCAGTGCTATACCTGACCAAGTGGCAGATGTTCCAGAAGCAGCGAACCATGTGTTATTCTGTTGACTGCTCCTGATTTGTCGCCGTGGCAGCGACGGCGACGACCACCGTCATTGCACTTCCTGCTTCTGCGATTGCTGCTGCTGCTGCTGCTGCTGCTGATGCTGCTGCTGCTGCTGCTGCTGCTGCTGCTGCTGCTGCTAGAGCACAGGCGAGTGTCAGCGAGAGACATGAAGGTAATTGTTACTACGAGTTACCTGCAACAGTCATATAATGGGTTATGGCCTCAAGACATTAGCTTTCGCGGTCGCAGTAGCAGTGGTGGCAGTGGTAGCAGTAATGTAGGTGTCGTCGTAGTCGCTGCAGTCGTATCGACGGCCATTCTGTGGTAGCGGCAGGTAGGCATCGTGGCGGCCGTGGCAGTGGTTTCAACCGCAAGTCCCCTCAGAAACCAAGAAACCCCAACCTCCAAGCTGAAGAACCCAAAGCCGTGCACCCGAAACCCCTCAGCCCTATAAAGCCCTAAACCCCAAAACTCCAGAACCCGAACCCTAAACCCTAAACCGTGACCGAGGTGGGTTCCTACCAGCACCGGGCTTCAGTCACATCGATTGCTCGGCTACCACCAGGGCTTCTCTTCCAAGAAGTCTTCAACATTCCAGGACGGGTTAGGGTTTGGGGTTTAGGCTTTGGGGTTTAGCTTTGGAGTTTTAGGTTTAGGGTTAAATGTCTAAGGTTTAGGTCGGGGTTTAGGGGTTGGGTTTAGTAGGGCTAGGTGTTTAATGTTTAGGGTTTAGGGTTTGGGCGAGGAGTGTTCTCTCCAAGGGGAAAAGGAGGGACCCTTATTAAGGACCCCTAGGGATATACCCTTAATATAGCTATTATTATATACCCATTATATAGCCCACTATAGGGTAGGTAGGGGTCCTTATTATGGGTCCCACCTTTTACCCTTGGATTCTCCCACAGCCCCAAGCTCCCAACGGACAATTTCGAGGCATGAGGCAGGCTCCAGTGGTTCATCATGGGAGGCCAAAAGGGGTTTTAGCCTATGGGGGTTTAGTAGGGATCAGGGTTCCCATAATAGGGTTCATATTAAGGAACCCCTACCCCAAGAATCTTAAACCCACCTTTTCGCCTCTCATCAGTTCAAGAAGAAGCCCAGAAGGGGCAGACGAGTAGGAAACGTGGTCACGGCAGTTCTCCCGGAAGTGGCAACGATTGAAAATAGCAGACATCATAACGAGCCGACTGAGAAAAAGTGGCCAGAAATAGTGGTCGTTGTCGTCGCCGACATAACATCGGTTGCCGACTTAGCGTGTTTGCAGTGGTGCTCACAGGAAAAATTGGCTTTTGATAAGCCGGGATCCCACCATAGTGTGATCCTTGTTGTAAGAAACTGTAATGGATAGCTTCTACCTATAGTCTCCATTGTAGTTCCTTTTTTTGGTTAACCAAAATCTCTATTATAGAGTCCTAACCATAAAACTGGTTAACCAGAAAAAGGAACTACAATGGAGACTACAGGTGTAATGGATAGCTTCTAGCGGCTGAGCTGCTGAAAGTAGTCGGAGCCCTGTGTACCCTAAACCCTAAACCCTGAACCCCAAACCCCTTAACCCTACACCCTAAACCCTGAACCCTAAACCCCTAAACCCTAAACCCTGAACCCTAAACCCCTAAACCCTAAACCCTGAACCCTAAACCCCTAAACCCTAAACCCTGAACCCTAAACCCTAAACCCCTAAACCCTAAACCCCTATACCCTAGACCCTAAATCCCTGTACGGGAGGACGGCGCCTTGAACTTCCACTTCGTGTACGGATCAGGTCGACCTTGTTCAACTGGGTAGGGAACCCTAAACCTTATAGATCCCGTAAAGATCTCTGAAAGTAGCCCTAGGATAGTTCAGGGTTTTGGAGGACTAAATGAGGCTTTGGTGATTTTAGGATTGATGGTAGCTCGCCAAATTTCCGCACAGCTGTAGATAACGAACACTTGGGGCGCTGATTTCAGAAGGACCCGTAAAGGGACCGTAAGGCAGCGACTTCCCCAACAGGGCTTGTGCCACGTTCGTACTCCTGGTGCAGGTGTCATGCGAATTTCATAGGGCTCGGAGGGGAGAGAAGTCGTTTGAAGCCCATTCTTCTGACAAGCTCACAGGCACTTAACCTTTGGACGCAGTTCTTGCAAAATGCACCTTGCAGCCCTAAAATCCAACCAAGGGGCACTCAACTTAGGCCTACACCGCTTCAATCCCAAACCTTGAAAAACGTGCATTGACCAAGAAAGCCCAGGAACAAACAAACACGAACCCCTGGACCCCAAGCAGAAGTTCTAAACCCTATAAACCGCGTCCTAAAACCCGAAAACCCCTAAATCCCTGACTTCTAATCTGCACTTTTCCATTCCCAGGGGGCGTCTCTGGTAAGTTCTGCTCCGATGATGTCTCTATCGGCGGCTTGCTCCTTGGATGTAATGTTGAAAGTTTGGGGTCTAGAGTTTAGGGTTTAGGGTTTATGTTAGATTAATTATGGTCACTATTGTTATTCCTCAGTGCTCCTTGTTATACTGATACTATAGGTCACCCTCCAACCCGCATTCGAATTTTCACTGCCCGTACAGCAATTTGGTCTAGCAGGGTGTTTCTTGAAATTGGAACCGTTTTTGGTTGTTTTTACAAGATAGACCGAAGGAGCTATTCAGTTTGCCCAATCACACATTGCCGACGACAGTTTCAACCCGCAGGGCCTCCGTATGCTGAGAAATACAGATGCATAATGGTTTTCTCCACAGTATAGTCCCTAAGTGATTATTCTCCATACCCAGAACACTACTCCTTGAGACCTTGTGTCGATTGAGTATCCTCCTTCCGTGTCTCCTCCCTCCCAGACTTGCTGCTTTTGGGCCTAAGCCCACATGCAGCATCCCAAGACTAGCTTCACACAACTCTAAAAGCCCGAGGTAGAAATCATGGCTATCTTCGCAAGAGTCAGTATCGATGCAGTCCTATGATGGAATTCAAGGCAACCTCGCCACTGAAATTAGGCGACTAGACTTCTTACTCAGTGGTGTGCTTGGCTCGAATTTTTCAATTTCCTGATGAGTCTGATTGCTAACTTGTCCGTCCCTCCGCAGTGAATCCGAACCGCGAGAATCAAATTGATGGCTTGATCCCGAGCTTACGCAAGCCCTAAACTCTAAACTTGGCCTTCCAAACCCCAGAACTCCCCTGACCCTACACCCCTAAACCCATAAACTCCCCCAAAGCCTAAGCCCCTAAACCTTAACCGTCTCAGGAAGATTTCGAACTTCTCCTTTGCCCAAGTGGACGATGTGCGCGGCCTTGGTACCATGTACACCTCAGCATTGTCTGCTCCTCGTCCGAGATTTTAAACAGCGAGCCGCCAGTCTGACTGTAGAGGGTTATATTACTTATTACTACTATTATTACTATTATTACTATTATTACTATTATTACTATTATTACTATTATTACTATTATTACTATTATTACTAGTATTACTAGTATTACTAGTATTACTTATTACTACTATTATTAATTACTATTGTTACTTATTACTACTATTATTGCTATTATTCCTATTATTCCTATTGTTCCTATTATTACTATTATTACTATTATTTCGATTATTACTATTATTACTATTGTTACCATTATTACTATTATTACTATTATTACTATTACTACTATTACTACGATGTCGCGGTATTGGGTTTAGGGGTTAGGGTCTAGGGTTTTGGGTCTCCGGTTTATGGTTTAGGGTGTGTGGGTTTCGGATGACGGGAGGTTCTGTTTTTAGGGGTGTGTATCTAAACCCTAAATCATAAACAACCCCTAAGCCCTAAACCCTAAACCCCTAAACCCTAACCCCTAAACCCCTAAACCCTGAGCCCTAAACTCCTAAACCCCTAACCCCTAAGCCCTAAACCCTAACCCTAGACCCTAAACCCTAAATTAGGGTTGACGGCTTTGGCTCGCAGTCACAGCGGTTAATGGCGTGCGTTCTTTACCTCCAAGCAGGGCTACAGGGGCCTTAATAGATTAGGGACCCTTTAAAGGGGCTCCGTTGAGGGATACCATAAGGGTACTATAAGGGTTGAGTTTAAGGCCTTAATAATTCGGAACAGAGTTTTAGGGTACATTACATCGTTAGCATAATAAGGGACCCCCAAACAAAAAGCAGTATTGGTAATTATTCAGTCTTGCTGGTTTCGGATTCCGGTAGGCTGAAGCTACGCAGGCACGGGCACTCATATAAGTATGGTCGAGGCGGAGGGGGTCGGATTCAGGGGCAAGTGGTTATGAAGAAGTGTAAAGCGCCGCAAGGCAGGGTTTAATTTAGTAGCTTAGGTGTTTGGGACTTGAGGCGGATCACAAGTTGGTCACGAGTCAGGAAGAGATTGAAGTAACGATGTCGTGGCGGGTAATTTGAGCTGTATGACATGCATTGCGCACAGGAAGCCATCCAAAGCAATGCCCAAAGATGCCAGCAGTGTAGGCCTTTAACCTAAACCCTACTCTGCACCCTGAACACTGAACCCTAGACCCAAAACCCCTAAACCGGCTTCTAAACCCAAACGAGTACAAGCAAGCGAGGACCCCGACCCTCAACTCTACAAGCCAAATCCTTAAATTGCCCCCAGAAAACATCATCCAAAGCCGCCCTCCAAACGCTTTTCCTGCATAGCCTCTCTAAAGTCATCAACAACAACTTGCAACCCAAAGCACTAAACCCAAAGCCCTAAAAACCCTAAACCCTTGAACCCCAAACCCAAAACCTGAAACCCTAAAACCCCTAAAACCTAAACTCTTAACGAAAAACCTCGGAAGGTCTTCGATGGAGTGCTTGGGCTCGGCTTCGCCGATCTCGCACACCGTGGAGTTCCGAGCGCAATTGAGGTGCTGGCGTTCATTTGGTTTAGGGTTTAGGGTTTAAGTTTTAGGGTTTAAGGTATAGGGTTTAGGGTTTCGGGCAGCGGATTTCAGATGGATGTTTTTTAGCTTGAGAGAACAGCATCTCTAGGTTTGATGTGTAGCGTAATGTAGGGGCTGTGATAATTGGGATAATTAGGGCTTTGGGCGGTTCCTTATTAGGCGTATATTGCAATATGCCCCAAAACCCTATTCTAATTATTCAGGCCCCTACATTCGGGTGGTTTAGGGTTTAGGTCTAGGGACCTTATGGCCTTGGAAGCTGTTAACAGTATCGTTTAGAAGCTGCCCCCACCCTGTAGTAGTTAGTGACTATAGGATTATCGTAGGGCCCTATTTATATTCCTATTATACCACTATTACAGGGTGGGGGCAGCTTCTAAAGTATCGTGAAGTGAGAGTGAACATGTTCCCGATTTCTGGGGCCTCCGGCGGCCCCGTGCTGCAGTGTTTCTATGTCTTGGCTCCGCGGAGCAATTCATATCAGTATTCTTCTCTATTAGTATTTCTTGACAATTTCTTAACGAATTTTGAGTGTTAGCATTAGTATTACAAGCCTGAAAAGCTCCCCCAAAGCTTGAACTGGTCTCACTTTTCTTCCTGCTGTCCGCCTCCGGAACTTCAGGTTTTGGTTTCCGGAGTCGACTCAAGTCTCATACTTGCTGCTTTCTCTTCGGGGTTTGGCGAATGCGGATGTCCCGTCGAGCTGTGTAATTTGGAGGGGCGCCTGCTCCATTGATCATCGTTGGCGATAGATGCGAAGATTGCCATGGCCTTTGTGACAGCGATGGCGGCGAGTAGGAAGAAGAAGAGGTGATTGTCATAGCGATGGTGATGATGGATGTTGATGAACATGGCAGTTCACGTTATCATCGATAGTGATGATGGCGATGGTGAAGAGGAGAATTTACATGGCCATGGTGGCAATGAATGCCGACGCCGATGGTCAGGATCATAATATGCGTGGGGCAGGGACACACACTCCACGCCATCAGCATCTCATCTCAAGCCGTCGAAGTCGGGATATTGTATGTCGCATACTGCAGACCGTCATCTAGGGAGCACAGGCCGATTGAAGCAGAAAATCTCCACCAGATGCCGGTGTTGGGCTGCGGCGTCATGCAGAAGCCTGACTCATTCGCTGGGAGTTCCTGGGTTTTTCTAGTATAAGCCCCAATCTTCGATCGGACTATACCGGCCTGAGGGCCTCAGGGGTTCCTTAAAAAGGCCCGAACCCCTGAACCCTAACAAGCATTCCAGCTCCGATTCTCCGCCGCCATGTCGACGGCCAAATTGGAGAAGAAAATATGGAAGCTCGAGACGAAACTGCGAGAAGAATTCCGAGCTGAGCTGCAAAACACCATGATGGACTGCATCGCGAGAGTGGAGAAACTTGAGGCTCAGATCCATAATCATCCGATTTTCTCACGCCGAGCAAGCGAAGAAGAGGGCATGATAACGATTTCTGTGGACTCCGCGATCAACGCTGTGCCAAGGTTGCAGCTGAATGGCATTCATTTTGATCTTGCGGTGGTTTAACGACAGATCCCAAGAGCCCGAAACAAGTTCAATCATGATCAACCCACTGGTTAAGATTAGTTACAATAGGGTTTTGGGGCGAATTATACTATAATCATAATAAGGAACCCTGAAAATAGTATAGGTAATTATTCAGGCCCCTTTTTTAGGTAGGGTGAACAGATTGCGAGGAGCTTAATCGTGATCTGAAAGATTCTTTCTCCATCGACGACTTGTCTGTGCCGACGGTGATCAAATCCGTCCCGGCGAAGATCGTGGCCCCTCCGGCCAAGCCACTTGCCCCTCCGGCAAAGCTGCTTGTTCGACATAGTTTGTCGTTGTCGAAACCGAAAATCGGAAGCCGTGCGACCCACTCAGAGATATGGCTCCCGGCGAGGCCTAGGGGTTCAGGGTTTTGGTCATGATTGCGATGAACTTAGATTTGGCCATCATGATTGTGGTTGCCTTGATAAATGGGGTTGTGGCTGCCCTCATGCGCCTCATGACAGTAGCACGAGCTGCAGGAGTGGGAGAGGCAGGAGTACGCGTGAGAAGTCAGATGCACCACTGCTGCTGCTGCTGCTGCTGCTGCTGCTGCTGCTGCTGCTGCTGCTGCTGCTGCTGGTGCTGGTGCTGCTGCTGCTGCTGCTGCTGCTGCTGCTGCCACTGCTTCTGCTACTGCCGCTCCTACTCCTGCTCTACATACTCCTACGCCTCTCCACCTATTGCCATCTGATTCCTAATAGTGAAAGATGCCGAGCTCCCGGTGCAAGCAGAAGCAGCGAAGTCCCGCAGGTAGCTTGCACGGACTCCAGAATTCTAAGATGGAAGCTTGGGAGGTACCTTAGTATTCAGAAGCCTCCAAAGGCCCTAAGCTCCAATCCCAAGTCCCGTGGTTGTGGCTGCAGCGCCGGCCGAAGACGACCAGGCAAGGTTGATTTGTGGCTCGACACAGAGGCTGTGAGACAAAAGTAGCAGCCATACAACTGGAAGTGGGACCTAGTTATCCTGAGGCTACCTTGTTAAAAGACAGAGAACCCTTCAGGACATCAGGGGCCTCAGTACAAATCCTGATTGTGAACAGCCTCGACTGAGATAGCCCATGTACTGCCCGCGTAAGCCCTGGATCCGTTGTAATATGCTGCGTCGTTTTTTCCAACCTCTAGCAGCAAGCAGTGTACCTGAATCCAATCCCGAAGCCCACACAGACACCGAAACTCAAACCGCAGAGCCAAGGCTAACATGCTCATACGACCTTGGCTCCTAATTCTACCTCAGCACCTGATGCATGAAATCCGAAAGCGGAAACCTAAAAGACCTGAAGCCCTGGAGCCCAAACCCTGAAACCCTAGACCCTACACCCTCAAAGCCCTAAGCCCTAAACTCCTAAACCCTAAACCCTAACCCCTAAAGCCCTCAACCCCCAAAACCCTAAACCCCCAAATCCCCTAAGCCCTAAGCTCTCTCCTCTTAGTAGCTGGCCTGGGCAGCAGGATAACTTTGAGCCGGTGGGCTTCCGGGCATGCAGTGGCAGTAGAGTTGATGAGACTTCATTTATAGGCTTCTAAAATCATAAGGACCCTTAGGGCAGTAAGGGGCGAGAGAGGTTCACATGAGCTTGGACAGGGTGGCATGAAAGGGTTTGAGTATGGCGAGGCTTCGCAAAGTTGAGATGTCTTAGTATAGGTGTTGGGTATGTAGCTTCAGGGTGCTTTGCATTGGGGCGGCTGGGTAATGAAGGTGTTCTCAATGCTGTTCGATTTTTAGGGTCGAGGCTTTTTCAAACTGGAGGCTCCTTTTTTTACTCCTAGGTCCACTGGCATCAAACTTGTTCTCGCAGTTGTTTGGATTTGGAGTTGGGGTTTCATGGTTTCTGAGGCGGCTATCGCACTGTTTCTGCTCACCTGGGAATGTGTGCCCAAGCCCTGAGGTCCCAAACCATCCCGAAGCCATCATGGGTTTAGGGTTTAGGGTCTCGGGGAGCCTCAATAGTGCAGAAGTAATCCCTTCTTTCAACTCCACACACGCCTCCCCCCCTCCCCCCGAAACACCACGTGAGCTAGATGTGCACCTAAGCCCAGCTGGACCGTAAATCCAAACCGGTCAAGTAAGCTCAGGTTTTGGGGGCCCAATATACTATATGTATACTATTGAACCCCCAAAACAGTATTGGTCCTTCTTCAGGCCCCTACATTAGTCGGATTCAGAATCAGGTTCTTTACGATGCAAGTTTCAATCCCGGGGTCTGAATTAGAACACTATAGGGGCCTTAACAATTACCGATACCATTTTGGGGGCTCCTTTATTATGATTCTAGTATCATGGGCCCCAAGACCCTGTTCTAATCATTAAGGCCCCCTATAGTAGGGTGTTGGCCGGATTTCTCAGCTTCGGATGGCCTGCCCTAAGAGGCGCCCCTGATGCTTCCCTTTACACCCCACATGGACAGAGACTGCTAGGGTTTAGGGTTTAGGATGAGACGGTACCCCTAAATTCTACGAACCTTGATATGGGCCTTAAAGAAGCAGCTTTCTACAGCATCCGATTAGGGCACATGAAACCCCAGAGGTCCTGCTCAAAAAACTACACCTCAGGTTTCATGGAATCCACTTGGTCCATGGTCCTGGTCCTCGGATTGACAGATGCTGGGCTATGCTGTTCAGCCCTATCATGCCCTATCATCAGGCCTCATCCAAACCCTGATTAAACTTGCTAACGTCGTACAAGGCTCATTAGAACCCCTGCATATAACAGCCTTTTAAACGAACTCCTTGAAACCGAGTTGACACCCGTTGAAGCAAAATCATACCACACCGGGGGTTTCCTCATTATGGTAACTTTTTTTAATCCTTCCCTAAGGGTCCAAGTACCCAATAATCATATACTCTCCCAAACATTAACCTACATAACTACCATCCTAAACCCAAGCATCTGATTATTGGGTCCTTTGGACCCTTTGGGCTTTAACAAGAATCCAGAGTTGACACCCTTCAAAGAAACATCCTACCATAGTAGGGATTTATCGAAATTAAAAATTTGTATGGTTTCCTTTTTAAAACCCTCTCCCAGGATGCGGGATGGGCCGACGAGCTGATGGGTCTGCTGCTCCTGCTCGGGAGCGCGACCGTTCAGATCCTGGGTCTGGGTCATTTTTGCTAAATGGGTGGCTGTCAAAATTAGGGTCCCTTTTTTGGGTACCCTGTACCTCATTTTGGGGCCCTTATAACAATATAATAAGGATCCTACTATTTAGAGGCTCCGACAATTACGGTGTAATTAGAAGGATCACATGTTTTTGTAGGGTTCTATGGTGTAGGTACCCGTATTTCCTGCAACTCCCATACAGTATGTTTGGTTGTCAAAATTAGGGTGCCTTTTTGGGGTCCTTGTTATAATACGGCCCCTAATATTTAGGGTACCCGAAAAGGGGCCATAATTTTGACAACTAACCAAATGGGAGGCTCCGACAATTAGGGCGTAATTGCCTTATTTTGGGGTCCTTATGACAAGCATCCTACCATTTAGGGCGCTATATTGGGGTCCCCTCTTTTCGGACACTCCCAAAGTAAGTCCTTGTTAATTCCTAAGCCCTACACCTTAACTACTATTTGCTTAAGAGCCCCCAAAAAGTAAAAAAAATATTCCTTATGGGGGTAATATAGGGATTATTATTTTTTTTTTGGGGGGGGGGTTCTTAAGCAAATAGTAGTTAAACATCCCTACGCCCAAGACTTGCATGGGTTTTGCTAGAAGGGCTTTGTTGTAAGGCTTCGTTTTTTGCAACGGTTTCTGGCCCCGCTCCAGCGTTGTCTCCTGGGTTTGAGTTTAGCACTGAGGGGTCTGGGATTTGAGGCTTTGGGGTTTAGGGCACAGGGTTTACAGTAGGGTGTACCCAGAGGCTTTTGAGAGCTTATAAAGAGTTGATGACGGCTCATGGGAGTATGACGATGAGACTCAGGCTTCGCTTTTGCTTGTTGGTCTAGTTGAAAGTCGAGAGCAGCCTGCTTTTGTGGGTTGCAGTGGTCCACAAGACATGCAACCAGCAAGGAAACATTTTCCAAAGAAATCCAACCAGCAAGGATTATCTTCACCATCATCTTGCTGACGGATGACTTCCTCGGAGCCCCATTCAGTGCTAAATTGGAGAGCGCCAGGACAGGAATTATTTTTTACGTGTGCAGCATTTTCGAGTTCAATAGATCAGCTCCTGTTGTGCACCTTAGCCTTATGTCGTTCTTAGCCTGCTATTTTGATTAGCTAACTTTCTTACAATTATTATTACGAACATTCAACTGTCATTGTTAGTACTATTGTTATAATTGGTATTATCAATATTGCAGGAGCTGGAGGCGTAGTGCACACGACCACAGCTACATGGACCTGGCTGGCAGTAGCCTCGTCTCCCGCGTTTGCAACCTAGACGCTGGGCCGTTGCTAAGGAACTGCGTTTAAGTTACCATAATAAGGAAAGTATAGCATTCACTATGCTATAGGTCGCTTTGATGGTACATTAAACGATATTATAAGTATTCTTGATGTTATAAGTATTCTCGATCCAGGTTCCCTATAAACCTTTATAACGACCGAACCAACCCTTCACATTTCAGGTCCTTAGACAGAAACCCAGGATGACTCCTTGGTCCTGTCGAACGCGCAGGCAGGTATCATTACAGAGATCAACTCTTTCTTAGGCCTCGGCCTGCTAGAGTTTCAGCCGCTTGGCCAAGGTTTGGAAGCTACAGGGGCTTAGGTTTTTTCAGGGTGTAGGGTTTAGGGCAAATTGCAAATTAGGGGCTTCTGCCCCGATCCAGATGGCTTGAACCGGCCTGAACTGTGAATGTCTCCATCCCTCAAGCCCTGGACCATGAACCCTAAGCCCTAAACCCGAAGCCCTAAACGCTAAGCCCTAAACCCTAAACCCTAAACCTTAAACCCCAACTATCCCCAGCCGTCTGCGAAGGACAGCCGGTCTTCGTCCTGGAATGGTACTCTCCACATTATGTATTCTGCTTTGGTGCCTCTACCTTTTGAAGGAGTTCCGCTTGGTGGGCACCGGCGTGGAGGCGTCTGGGTTGCAGAGTTTAAAGTTTAAGGCTTAGTGGTGCACGTTCATATGGCTGCCGTGGCTATCATGAAAATGCGTTAAGTGTAAAGATCCCTCTGGCTACTGCGGTCATTGTCATGCATATGATATTCACCATCCTCGTTAACGTTCATGCCTTTTCCTGTGCCATACATCCTTGCATCCACACCCATCTTCATACTTCCACTCGTCCATTCATGCATGCCACACAAACACACTTAATAATCACACTTACATAATATATAGGTATATGTATATATATATATATATATGTATATATATATATATATATATATATATATATATGTACATACAACCACATACCCACACACACACAGACACACACACACACACACAGAGACACACACAGACACAGACAGAGACACACACACAGACAGACAGAGACACACACAGACACACACACCGACACACACCGACACACACCGACACACACCGACACACGACGACACACCACACACACACACACACACGCACACACGCACACGCACACACACACACACAGACACACACACACACACACAACACACAACACACAACACACAACACACAACACACAACACACAACACACAACACACAACACACAACACACAACACACAACACACACACACACAACACACACACACACACACACACACACACACAACACACAACACACAACACACACACACACACACACACACACACACACACACACACACACACACACACACACACACACACACACACACACACACACACACACACACACACACACACACACACACACACACACACACACACACACACACACACACACACACACACACACACACACACACACACACACACACACACACACACACACACACACACACACACACACACACACACACACACACACACACACACACACACACACACACACACACACACACACACACACACACACACACACACACACACACACACACACACACACACACACACACGCACACACACACGCACACACACACACACACACACATGCGCGCAATAGTACCACTGATGATCATTTTGGTAAGGTGCGTCCGTAACCTTACGTATGTGTTCGCAGGTATGTATGTATGTGTACGCCGTATATGCATGCATGCATGTATGCATGCACGTATGCACACTTGTATTTATGTTCATATTGAATCATATTGATATGCTTATACAGCTTTATACATGTACACACACATGCTTATGTTTATGTGTGCGTGTGTGGGTGGGTGCGTGTGTTCGTTTGCGTGCTGTGAGAAACTGCCAGGCTATTCTGCACGTGGCCCGAAGTGGCGCCACCACCTTTGAACATGGCTCCTTTCGCACCATCTCTTACTACCGCTGCTGGTTCTTCTGCTTCACAAGCCTGATGCGCATGGCCATTGCTGCAGGCCCTCTGTCCACAAGCACATAACTATTGGTGGCGGAGCCCTGAACCTCATGAGCAAACAGACCCCTCAAGTTGCATGCACACCCTAACAAGCTATAAGCCCCCCCCCCCCGCCTTTACGCCAGTAGGTATCCTGTATGCGGGCATCATCTGGCTGGCCAACACCGCTTCCATCACCGAGCTGATGCTCAATGCAGTGGCTTTGGGATCGGTCATGGAGGCTGAGGATTTTTGGGGTTTCGGCTGTGGGGTTCAGGTATCCCACCCCGAAAGAAAAACAAGATATCCGAAGCCTCTCAATGCCACAGGCATCCTGTAAGAAGCCCCTTGGCAGAAGTCGGTTTAAAGCAGAGAGAATCCACCCTAGCCCTATAAACACCAAATCCAAGACACTTCACCCCAAACCCTCAACCCTAAACCTTAAAGCCCCAAGTATACCCAAAACAGTACCAAAACAGTACACAACTCTGAACGAAGCTCCCAATCTTTGTTTGTTGCAGGTCGATGAGATGATATTCTCAGCCACTAGGTCGCCCTCTAATTCTTTTCTGACTTGCGTCCTAAACCCTATACCGCCTATACCTATAATTTATTGATACCCGCAACTATATACCCTAATCCCCGAGAGGGCTTAGCATCCCAACACCCTACAGCCGTATAACCCGAGAACCCTAAGTAACTGATACCCCGACACCCTGCAACCAACCCTTCGTACCTATAGTCTCCATTGTAGTTCCTTTTTTTGGTTAACCAAAATCTCTATTATAGGGTCCTAACCATAAAACTGGTTAACCAAAAAAAGGAACTACAATGGAGACTACAGGTAGTAACCCTGGCGAGCCTAGGCCATGATGCCGAAGAGGATCCAAAATCGAGTGCAGGAGCTCGAAGCAGTGACTTAGATAGCCCATGGGAGAACTTTACCTAGACCCTCCATCTACCCTCTATTGGACCCTAAATGCCCCTTATTTGGGACCATATACCCCTATTTGAGGGTACAAGGAGGGTTCTGGTAAGCTTGTTGGCCCTAGATTTTCGGTTTATATATTTGGTCTGTCTCAGACAGTTTAGTCTCTTTGGTGGACCTGGTTGTTGAAGAAGAGAGGTAAAGATCTGCTTCACGCGCCGGCGCAGCCAATGCGAAGCAACGACCTCAAGCAAACGTGCGTTCAGGGCTTCAGGTTCACATTGGGTGCAGGGCTTCTACAGGGGTTTTATTCTGTCTTCTTTCTGCAAAACTTTATAACGGGTTTCCAGTTTTCATGTTCTGTCTCTGCATAGCTTGAACACTACCCTGTGAGTCTGGCATGCGCCTGTCGTCCCCCTGGAAGCGCCGATTGCCGAAGCTGAATGCATTGCACGGGGGAGGAGACTGAGGATCGTTGTGACGACAAAGCTTTGGGATTCTTCCTTGTTCACGCAGTGTGAGCAGGCAGAGGTTCTGCATACACCACTGTTGGTGGAGCTCTGCAGGGATTTCTGTAGGCGATTCCTCGAAACAGCAAGGTTCAACGCAAACCATCCCACAATGCTCGCACGCACCTGAGCCGACAGCAGTTCTGCGATGCTTCCTTCAAAAATGATTCCTTTGTATACGGAGTGCGGGACATTGATCGCTGCTGGTGTCTTGAGCATGAAGGATATACCCTAAGGCCCCATAGTAGTTCCTTTTTGCGGTTCATATATAGAATCCTATAAGGTAATCCCCAAAAGGAACTACTTTAGGGCCTTTAGGGCCTATGGGTAAAGGCATCGTCGGGTCCCCCGCGCTCATCATTGAATCATGGCGCGAAATCAATGGCAGCTCAAGTTCGCCTATCCCAAAGGGTCCAAAGTACCGATGTAGTAGAATGTAGGGTTCTATATTAGGAGTTACTATTATGATTTGGGGAAGTATTCCCCATAACAGTACATGGGACCCTTTGGGAATTTAGCACAGCAACGACAGCTGCTACGAAGTACATACCCTTGCTTTTCATTCAGTGCAGGTTGACGCCATTCTGGGGGTTTCCGAAAACAGGGGACCCTTCAAATGTAGGATCCTTATGATATGGACTCCAAAAGAAGGTACCCCCCCCCCTAATTTTCAGAAATTCCCTTCTCGTTGTTCACAGACATTGCCATGCCTTACCTTTGGTTAGTAGGGAATGGAAGAATGGTAGTTTAATAGTAGTTATAATTGTACCCCATTCCTCCATTCCCTACTAACCAAAGGTAAGATGCCGAGGCACTGATACTCGTGCTTTTCATCCTCGGGCTTCTTCTGTGGCCCTGGCATTTTTTGCTCGAACCTCTCGGATCCACGATGCTGCAGGCCGGCGCCTCTTGAAGCAGCAGTAGCAGGTGTGACACCGCTCTACTGACAAGGACATGCACAGCAGGAGTGGGACGAAGGGAGGCCATTGAAACCGCCCGTCCTCATCGTCATCATACTAGCAGTTACTTGCAACAACAGCGCGCTGATGGATGCAGCATCTGCTAGTCGTCTTGCTGCTGATGTCATACATCATATGGCACGGTTCACTTCATGTTCGGGTCAGAACTGAATGTGTTCGAATCCATGTATAGTTAGGTTATGACCGAATGTCACATGCCATTTTGTCCAAGCATGCTGTGAAATCGTGCTTCGAAATGAGCAATAACAGAAGTGTCAAGCTCAGTGCACATCTAGATTGACATGCCAGTCCAGCATATGTACAGCTGCAGCTGCACATCAGTTTTTTCCTTTCGCGTGATGGAGGTTGCTTTTAGTCAGTACTAGCATCGTCCAAACAAGCCGCTGATGTGCTGAGGTGAAGCATGCCTACTGTGGCGGCGAGCGCGATTTCGTAGTGGCCATGAACGATGATGTCGGGGTGATCTTTGCGCATGGAACGGACTCGTACCAGCGGACGGACCGCAACAATGCCACCCTCATTGAGACCGCAGTGCAGGACTATGCATTCGTTGGATTCTCGGATTTCGTTTCCTTCCAAGCAACCGGGCCGGCCTTCGCGAACAAGCGTGGTTCGAACATCGCAGATGCAGCCTCGACGGTACAGTCCTGCAATGATTTTGATGCCTGGTTCGTGTTTGGAAGGCCGAAGAGTGTCATCGATTATTCCGACATCTATGCTTCCAGGCTGCTCTAAACAGTCTCTAAGGATTCTGCCAGATTGGTCTAAGGATTTCAATACAGCTTTGTAAGTTCCACAAAGGGCTCCATGATGAACCCTTGGTCCACCTGCAAATTTTCTGTGTTTCGGTATCCTACACCCCAAACGTAAACCCTAAACATGACTCCGCACTTAATTTCCGTGCTTCTCAACGGAAAAACCGAAATTCTTACCCCAAGCCCTATTGCGGTTCAGGGTTTAGTGTTCAGGCCCTAGGGTTTTGGGGTTTAAGCTGTGTTGCCGGGTTGCCACTTTTCACCCCGAAGCATCAACGCCGACAGTAGGTTTCAAAACATTTACACGAAGGAATATAGCCTAGATTTTTCAGGGCTTGCTACTATGTATGACACGGCGTATTCCTTAAATATGGAGCACTAGGCACTAGGCTCTCCGGAAAGTATCCCTGCACCCTTTTCTCCTCATCGCATCCCCAAAATTCTTTTGGGTCTTAAACCACAGAGACGCATAACAACCATGAAGCCTAAACCCGAATGCCCTAAAACCATTGAACATGCTAAAATGGTGCAGGAGCCCTTTCCACCCCAATCCCGGAGACTACACGTCTTGGAAATAGTAGACACATCTTGCAGAACACGTATTCTTGATTGCTTTGTTGGAGTCTGTTTGGCTCCCGAACGAGAGTTAAATGCTAAACCCCAAACCCTGGACTCAGTCTCATCGCACTGGGAAGGACCCCTACACTCTTTCTGCCTCATCCGAGGCTGTGTATTGGCGCACAGTTACATTCAGCCTTGGCTTTGGTGAGAACACCACGTGTCCTGAGATGGTGTGCCTCGACGAGTTTTGGTGTTCTTAGAGGATTATTAGTATTATTAGTAATCTTATTTATTGTCATGATGACTGTTAATACTCAGACTATTGTTATTATTATTCTTGTTACTGCTATTGTTATTGTTATTGCTCTTATTGGTGTTGTTATGAATCATTGCTATCAATCTTACCAGTATTCGTATTATGAGTTTTAGCAACTAACTGTATAGCTCCATGGGACTCTTAAGAACCCTAGCACATGCGGAGATGGTGTGCATGTACAAAATGTTGGGGGGGGGTGGACCTAATGTCTTGGGTATTATTTTTACGGCTGCATGTCCAAGGGTAGCATGTCATTCAAACAAAGCGGGCGAGAACGTCGGCGCGGTCTCCAACTTTAGGCTGACTTTAGGTATTTATTGTTGGTTTTGACATGGCGGCCTCATTTCTGAGGGGCGTTTGGACACAATGTGGATTTTTCTGTTACTCAAATCCCTAAACACCCGCTAGAATCATAACTGTTGCAAGGATACGAACTTGAGTATAGATGTGTTAGGCTTCTTTGGGCTGTCGCCAAAAGGACCTACCATTCTCGGGGGGATATATTAGAAGCTGCCCCCACCCTGTATCACTTGTGGTATAATAGGAATATAATAGGGCCCTAATATAATCCTATACAATCCTTATGGTCACTATCACAGGGTGGCGGCCCCTTCTAAGATATCCTTAGCATGAGCGTTTTCTGTTTGGGGATCCTTAAGCATAGGGCCCTGGGCTGAGGGCTTCTGCGATTTGGGGTTAGGGTTTGGGGTATTTTGGGTTTAGGGCGCAGGGTTTAGGGGTTTAGGGTTTAGGGGTGCAGGGTAATGATTATGCAGTGGTGACTTTTGCCAGCTGCATCAATTTGCGACTGTACGAGTGTCGGTCATCACCGTAAAAACAGCCGCATAGGTTCTGTCCTAGATCATGGTCCGTTTTCATGATCGTCGGTATTTTCGGCGGGATAATATACCAGCAGCGGAACTTAAGTCCAACATAAAGCAAACTGGACGTATCGCTGAAGCTGTAGTGGCCATGCTAGTCGTGCTCTCACTTCCGTTGTAGTAGTATGTCGTGGTGATAGTCACCGCAGCACTTGCAGCGGACGTGACAACATTTAGTTGGCGTGAAAATGTGAGCCAGGCCTTCTGTCTGAACGATGATTGAGTAGGCCTGGCCCAAGCCCTTTTTCCTGAACTCTGATTTAAGTTTGGAAGCCCCAACCTAAACCCTAAACCCTAAACTCTAAACCCTAAACCCTAAACCCTAAACCCCTAAACCCCTAAACCCTAAACCCTAAACCCCTAAACCCCTAAACCCTAAACCCTAAACCGGTAATTCTGATGCCAAGAGCCCTCCAGGAACTACTGCGACCGCAGCAGTCTCCTTCGGCTTGTCGGGGGCTTGTTTTTTTTTTGCAGGTTTGGGTTCGGATTCAGTACGTCAGGCTTGAGGGATTACTGGTATGAGGGTTTGGAGTTTAGGGTATTTGGTGCAGGTTCATAGCTTTGCAGTTTTTTTTCAGAATCAGCCTTTGAGGTTTAGGCTTGAAAGTAGGTAGATGGATAGATATAGTTAGAGTTTCAGTGTATGGAGCTAAGGTTTAGGATTTGAAATTTAGGGTTGAGGTAGTGCTCGTGGAGCACTTTGAGCTGATTTACGACAGAATTTTTGTCACAGAAACTGCTGATGTCAGCCTGCAGGCTGGGAATAAGATACAAGCGGAGTGGTCAATTTTTTTGCGCCGGAAACACCCGACATTCCTCACACAATAGGCGAAGGTTCTCACACAATAGGCGAAGGTTTTTAAAGCGCAAGAAAGTTTTTGAAGTCAGTGCTACGTTACGTCAAACCCCTGGACCTTAAACCCTAAAAGAAAAACCCGAAAGCCCAAAACCCTAAACCCTTCCCGAAGGCTTTGGGAAAAGCCCTAAACCCGCAGCCCATAAAAACCTATAGCCTGAGCCCCACAGGTGGGAGTTTCCGCTAACAGGGGACCCTAATATAGTACCCTAAGTAGTAGGATCCCGATTATAAGGACCCCAAAATAAGGTACCCCCCTAATTTTCGGAAACGCTAAGCCCCTATAGAGCCCTTTAAAGGAACCCTTATAGATCCCTTATAGTATCATTTTAAAGGATCCCTGTAAAGGTACCCCCCCTAATTTTCGGAAACTCTCAGGTCTGCGGCCCGACCTGCGGCTGTCGGTCGCAAAGCTACAACTCCTGGCTCCTGGGCCAACGACTGCTTGGGGTTTAGGGTTTAGGGAGATAGAGGTTCAGGGTTTAGGGGTTCAGGGTTTAGGGAGATAGAGGTTTAGGGGTTCAGGGTTTAGGGGTTCAGGGTTTAGGGAGATAGAGGTTTAGGGGTTCAGGGTTTAGGGGTTCAGGGTTTAGGGAGATAGAGGTTTATGCAAGACGTCTGCGGACCATCCAAGCGAGAAGCACGCCAAGATGCTTAACAGGGCGACATACAAGATTAATTACAAATTCAAGCATTGCGCCGTTTGCGCGCTGCTCTTGTCAACTTGGTATAAGAGTTCCAGACCATAACAGGACTACGCAGGGGAACAGGGCAATGCAGTGCCTGTACTGGCGCACATATCATAGCCCGAGTGATGGTGGGGTAATCCGCACCATTAAACACCTTATGAAATAGCTCATGTGGCGGTTGCCGGATATCCCTCGGCACAATGCAACTTGAAGCCACCGGCACTGTACATGCAAAAAGTTGTAGAGTCTGACGCCGCTCGATCTTAATTTCAAGCTCAAGCCGTTTGCAGACATCTTTAAACGCATGCAAAAAAACCGTAGCTTGTTTACCAAGCGATGGCCTGCTCAGGGCCAAAGGAGGGTAATCAGCTTCGCAAACAAACGCTTGCGGCACTGAGCCCGTTTGCAAGGACAAAGGCAATCTGCCCGTACTCCATGATGCCACGTTGACTGGAGCCAGCCATCCTGTGGACACTACAAAATGTAAATACAGCTCCAAAATGGAAACCCATTCAGAAGACTCTACCCAAGTGCCTCGCTTCATCCAAGCCTGAACCACCCACAAGAAACGAGGCCCTAGTAAAGCGTCCGCAAAATCTTGCGGTTGGAAGCTAAAACTTACAGCTAGACCGTCTTGAATCGATGCATTTGAAGACACAGCAATGTCTGCTGCACGCGCACTGTGTTCGAGAACCCGCGGTTGACATTCATCATGCGACCGAACTGTCCCCTTAACAATATTTTCCTGCAGCGAAAAAACAAGTTTTGCAATATTCACATACTCAGCGTAAGCTTGTCGTGCTTCGAAAACAATGCTGGCTGCCGTTGGTGGCAGCTCCCGATACACGGATTTTGCAGCTGCATCGTTGTGGCAACGCTGCCAACGCTGAGCAAAGCTTTCGCCAGGTTTGGGCGTACTATGTGATTTAACATGCTGTATTCGCCAGCCGGTCCGTTTGGGAGCAACCTTTTGCCAAACTGCCCACCACAAGGATGTTTCGGCGTTTTGCAAAAAACGAGAATGAACCCATCCCCTAGCCAACAAAATCCTAAACCCCAAAACAACCGAAAGGTTATCGGAGTACAAAGTAGCAGAAGACGCGGTCTGTACTGCAACAAAGACAGCATACAGTTCAGCACGGAAGTTGTCTTGTCGACCTGGAAGCATGCCTCGTTCTACAACTGCATTCTCCATTGAACAAGGGTCCGCAAGAACAACGGCCCAGGTACTAACCGGAACAAATGCATGAGGTTGGGTTGAACCATCAGTGAAAAGATGCACACCATCATCCAAGCACTCTTGGACAACAGGCTGCTCCAAGGTTTCAAACATCCTACGCGCATCAGTTCCTGCAGGAGCCTCTGGCCACAAACCTCGCAGCAGGATCTCGTCGTCAATGGTCTCTAATAGACCAGGCGGAATATGCGCACGAGCACTTGCATACTTGGGGCAGAACCGTAGGCGGTGTGCATACCCATCTTCACAACCACAGTGCTTACACAAAGCCTCCTCACTAGAAAGAAAGTGCCGCTTCTGACCAGACGACAAAGCAGCACCTACAGTAAAACTCCCAACAATCGAGTGACTGCATTTAGTAACCTTCCTAAGGGAAAGGGACACCGGCAGGGAAACCAGAGGGGCCCTACTATACCCAGGCTGGTCCGGCAACTTCGTTGCAATCACTTGCCACCAGGCGTTACAAATCGATGCTTTCAACTCTTGTTTGGATGATAAACACAGATGGATACTTTCACCAGAGGTGCCCAAACACAACAACCCAGGCTGAGGAACCCAACCTAAACAGCGAAGCTGCGCCAACAAGTACGTGTACGGACCTGTCGCGGGCGAACTCGCTGATGTCACAACATCCCACTGTCTACATGTGGACTCCGAGTTTTGCGCAAAAACCCTACGCAATGTATTAATTCGACGAAGAAGGAAAAGAATGAATGGTTCATATTGGACTTCAAGGCCAAGCAGGGGAGTAAGGAAATGGTTTCTGTGACTGGTGGGACCAAAGATTGCCGCCGAATACTTGCCACGCAGTAAGCTGCAAGTCGACAGGGATGTACTTGCAAACTCACACCCAAAGGACACTGCCGAGTGCACAACGCGCACGAGTACATGGGCTTTCCTACTGTGTGCCCAAGGTGCACGTTGCAACTTCATCAACCTTGGTTGCACAGCTTCCACACGGCGTAGCAAACTCGCTGCCATAACCTGCTTACCGGAGATAGAGGTTTAGGGGTTCAGGGTTTAGGGGTTCAGGGTTTAGGGAGATAGAGGTTTAGGGGCTAGGGGTTTAGGGGCTAGGGGTTTAGGGTGTAGGGTCTAGGGTTGATCCTCATTACCAATACTATTTTGGGGGCCCTCCTTGTTATACTTATAGGATAACGGGCCCCAAAACTCAAACCCTGTTCGAATTATTGAGGCCCCTTCTCTATTCTTATTTACCTTTTTTGCGTCGATATATAATGCGCAGGTGCATTAGATATCTATCTATTTATCTAGCTACCTCCAAGGATAGGTATGTATACGCATATATGGATGATTATCCCGATCGCCAGCAGTATTCGCAGTATCTTGTGTTTTCACCTTAATGTTTAGACACCCCAAAACCCTAAGCCTCAACAGTCGACCACAACAGATGAGGCGCAGAGACCCAGACTGATTGTAATTACATGGTTCCTGCATGCAAGCGTCCCGGTAACGCCCCTGATGAAAAGGACATGTTGACAAAGGGCAAGCTTGTGAGGGCTTGCAAAAAGCCACCAAGCTGATGCAGCAAGCAACCGACATTTGGCCGTGGAAACCCTTACCTACAGTCTCCATTGTAGTTCCTTTTTTTGGTTAACCAAAATCTCTATTAGAGGGTCCTAACCATAAAACTGGTTAACCAAACAAAGGAACTACAATGGAGACTACAGGTAACTCTCAAAACCCTAAACCCTAAACCCTAAGCCCCAAACTCTCAACCCCAAACACCCTAAACCTGATCCTCAGCCCTACAAGGTTCTCAACTCACACGTCTTTAGCATGATCGCCATCCGAAAATTCCCAAATCCCATAGAGCCACCTCTTAAACCGCCAAGACCTGATTCGAAAAGCCCTTAATGGAAATCGTTAGAGGCCCCTGTGGATCCTTGACAGGAGCTTCCATCGATCCCCTAGCGGAATGGTCGTAAAAATCCCTTGAGGGAGCCGCTAAACCTTCCACCCCTAAGCCCCTACACCCCCTAAACCCCTAGACCCCTAAACCCTAGACCCCTAAACCCTAGATCCTTAAACCCTAGACCCCTAAACACTGGACCCCTAAACCCTAGACCCCTAAACCTAAACCCCAAACCCACAGAGGTTCATGGTGGAGGCCCAAGGATGCTCGCGAGTTTGCCACTCGACAGGGGAAGTGGGCAAAGGTGCAGGCGCCACCGAAAGGGCCCCGATAAGATTTGTAATGGGGTTTAATTTTGATGAGAGCTTACAAAATAGTCTATAAGTTCTGTAATAGGGATTAGACTTAGAAGCTACAAAATAGTAGTAGGTGATAGTCCTTTGATGCGATTAGGGCTGGGTCTTGAGCGTTTTTTATTCAGGGTCAGAACCCCAAAATTTGACAGAAACCCTCAAGCGCCATTATGTGTCCGGGATCCGCGTTCTTGACCCCCCTCAATGCCTCAATGCGATCACTCCGCACCCCCGAACGCGTACTGGCCTTGGCCCGTCCGGCAGCTGCACCGCTCCACCGGTGCATAAGCGGGGCATACCACGGACTCGAACGTTTGGAGTACGTCATCAACTCAAGCGCCATTGCCTCGTTCGTTATCGATCATCGCATATTTGTGGTATGCGATGCGAGGGGGGGGGGCACGGCGGGAAGGAGGCTCGCCAACCCGGCACAAGTGAGCCCTTTTGAAGGAACTCGTAGAAGTACCTGAAGTCTCCATTGTAGTTCCTTCTTTTGGTTAGCCAGTTTTATGGTTAGGACCCTATAATAGAGATTTTGGTTAACCAAAAAAGGAACTACAATGGAGACTATAGGTACACCGACAAGTTGACTGGTAACCCCTAAACCCTAAACCCTACACCCTAAACCCAAGTTGACTGCACCACCGTTGTGACCGTTGTGTCCCGCAATCGAGGTTTACAGCGGCGCCGGGAGTTTGTGGCGGAGGTGGCGACCTACCCCGAGAGTTGTAACTAGGTCCGGTTTAGGGTTTAGAGTGTATGGCCGCGTTTCGGAGTAGCACGTTTTTTCCGTTTTTCGAGAGCGTTTGAATGGGTTCTATAATGGCTGAGGCTTTGGGCTTAAAAGGTTCCCCAGTAGTCAGGAGTATTCGTTCTACCCTCCTTCTTCCATACGGTATGATGATGGTGCTATACAGGTTCCACAAAGATTTCACACGAATTTGCAGGTCTGAATGATAGGAGAAGTGTACCCTTGTTATTCATGAGAGATACTGCGGAACCCAGGCGTAGATGTGGAACGCGACGATGAAAGGTGGCTGGCTCTCTGGGACGCTCGCCTAATAGTGCTTTGTGGCATTCGGGCTTTTCAGGAATTTAGAGCTTTGGGAGGATTTAGGGTCGGTGGGGCGAGGGTTCGGGGCTTTATTCAGGGCTCTGGGCTCAAGTGCAAGGTTTGGAGTTTGAGTTGTATGGCTGCTCGCCAAAGATAATGCAGAGTTGCGTCCAGTATATTGCGGACGGTTGGCCTCAGCAGTTTGTGATACCAGTCTTTCGAGGGGCTTCCTTTCTACGTTTCACCAGAAGACTTTTTACTTACCCTAAGGGTCCATGTACTCATATAGTATATACATTGGCCTTAATGTAGTCCCTATATGGGTACATGGACCCTTAGGGTTAGTTCAGCCCCTATGCTGGATTGTAGGCTGGAATCTCGGGCCTGCGCCGAAGGTTGAGCCCAAACCGTAAGTACCAGATTCCTCAACCTGGCAAACTAAAACCCATATAACTTATAGCCCACTAAGTGATCTAAGAACAAAGCGCCATTTGCAACGCAAGAACTGCGAACACTGACTGCAAGTTCCCTCGACTCTGACGAGCCGAAACAGCCGCGTAGGTCTTCTTCAGACTCGCCGCCTCTGCATGGAAACCCGAAAATCTAATCCCTGAACTTCGCCTGTGTCATAACAGGTTCAAATCGTTGTGTACTACGGTCGAAGCCCGAACTGAACAAGTTGGCTACGGCCCCCACTCAGTAACAGTTGGATAAAATTTTCATATTATATATATATATATATATATATTAATATAAGGCCCTTAATAGTAGCCCCATTATAGACTGTTACTGTATGGGGGCCGTACCCAATGAACAAGTATTAATTGTTGCATTCCTTAGGGTTCCCTTGTTTTGATTGTACCACTGTTCACCAAGTCCAAGCCTTTTGCCAGTTATAAAGGCCCCTATAGTATGACCCTGAACCCCTAAACCCCTAAACCTTGAACCCTAAACCCTAAACTCTAAACCCCTAAACCCTGAACCCTGTAAACCCTCAAACCCTAAACCCTTAAACCCTAAACCCTGAACCCCTAAACCCCTAAACCTTGAACCCTAAGCCCTTAAAACGTATGGTCGTTGCGGCCCCGAAGTCTTCAACGCCTCAAGCAGCAGCTTCGTACGGTTGATGGTATAAATCCTGCATTACCCATAATAAGGAATATACCATAATCAGGAATATACCATAATAAGGAATATACCATAATTCCCATAATTTAGGGTCCTTACATCATCAACCATAGTACCACACAGGCACTGACTTGGCCGAGCCTTCCTTCCGTCTTTCCTCGTCCATCCGCTTTCTTAGGGCTGGGTAGGTAACCTTAAAGCTTTGCGGGCATATATAGTCCTACTGTAGCTCACGAGGTTAAGCTTTTTCGGGCTTTAAACCCGTGCGGGCATATATAATCCTAGTGTAGCTCAGAAGGTTAAGCCTTTTCGGGCTAGGGTACTCAGCCCGAAGATTAAAAACCGAGTGGTGATATGTGTAATGTTCTTGTGACCCTAGACTAGGTGGCACTTTGCGAAACTTTAGCATTTCCGTTATGGTTCCTATTGAGGCCTGGTCCTAAATTCCTGAATACTTTCAAGGGCCCGAAACTACGACCCCAGTAGACCGTTAAAACTTTTGGGGCTGACACAGCCCTAGGAAGAACCGAGCCGAGGACAAATATCCGGCCGCGGCCGCCAGCTACGCGAAGATCACGGAACCCGCGCAACTGGAGCGCTTGTCATGGACCGCCTTCTGGGCTAAGGAGGTTGGGTGCGCTGCCCTGCAGAACAACGACAACTATCTGGAGCCGCTGGGCCCTTGTTCCGTTTCAAGGGGCTTACTTTATAAGTTGCCATACTAATTAATCTGGAGCCCTTACAACCCAGGATAAATCCCCAAACCCTAAAGCCCCAAAGCCGCCAAAACCTTAACAAGAACTCAGGCCAGTGACCAAGTCGCCCTGGTGTGCAGGCTTTGACCAGTTCTTCAGCCCACTGTCGGAACTCTGTCCCGCGACTTGTGGCTCGACTTTGGCATTTAGGGTTTAGAGTTTAGGGTTTAGAGTTTAGGGCTTTAGGGTTTAGGGTTTAGGGCTTCAGGGTGTCAGGGTCTACTACCATAGTCCCGTTTTGGTGTATAAGGTTTCGGGCTCAAGGTCCAGAGCTGAACTCTGTGTTGTAGAGTGCCTTGTCAGCTGTTTGTTCAACTCACAAGCAATAACTTCTACGTTCATGGCTAATCATTTGTGAGTCTGATATGGGAGTTTCCGAAAAAGTAGGGGTACCTTATCTTGGGGTCCTTATAAAAAGGATCCTACTCTTTAGGGTATTGTATTAGGGTCCCCTAGTTTCGGAAACTCCCATATTTCGGGCTCATGCATGCTCCATGAAACCTCGAAGCCCGAAGCTCGAGGCCCAAAGCCAATGAGCCCCTCATCTTAGGGGCGCTTAGTAAATTTTATTTTTTGGTTGTTATAATCCCTAAGAAACAGCTAAACTCATAATTTTTGCTAGGGTTCTAAGTTCAGTATAGTCATAACCCTGGACTTTAATACTGCCTGAGGTCTGGGATGTGGGGACTACAGCTGCCAGGATGTCCGCACCGGAGTGCTGCAGGCATGTCAAACCCTAAACCCTGAACCCTACGTAAGACTAAGCCGTTTGGGTAGGCACTAGCGGCAACCTTTGAGTTCGGGCGACACCAAAAATCAACAAACTAAAGGACCGGATAACCCCCACATCGTGTACGTTGTCTTTGTGTACCGGTAGCATGCTGTATAAGAGTAAGATGCAGTAATTACGGGGATATATGGCGAGTGGATACGGTCTGGCGGACGGGGAGGGCTGGACGGTGTGCATGCGTCGGTGGCTGTCTGTCTGTCCGTGCGTCGGTGGGTCCGTCGGTCGGTCAGTGGGTCGGTCGGTTGGTCTGGTTGTCTGTCTGTTTGTCTGTCTGTCTGTCTCTATGCGTGGGTGTGCGTGTGGGCGCGCGCACGTGTCCATCCAGATCTTGGGCATCTCGCAGTCGCCCGTAGGTGTAAGGTATTGAATCTCAGGTCTTTCCTATCATGTATGCAAAGTGTTTGTGCTGCCCTTGCTTTTCTGGACCACATGTCAGGCACTGGCCCCACACCTGAACGCGACCGACTGTGCCGACATCGTGGCTAGGGGCCTTTGTGACCAACCCGGGCTGGAGGCGGCGACTCTGTATTGCTGCCGGTCTTGCGACGGGACTTCCGGCGGGCAAGATGGACCCGAAGGCGAGGATGGGGATGGAGAAGATGATGATGGACAAGGGCCCGGCTATGGACATGGCGATGCTGGGCATGATGGCGCAGAGGGAGGTGACAGCGCAAGCGAGGCTTACGGATCAGCAGATGACGGAGGCGGTGAAGAAGGGGGCACTGGATATGGTGATGGCGAAGGCTCAGATGGCGAGGAGGATATTGCGGACACAGGTCATGCCGACGAAACTGGTCTTTTTTAAGGGCTTAAATGCGTAGTAAGAGTATTCTTCAGGGTGCCCTGATATGTTCATGGAGGTAACGGAGGTAATGGAGATGGAGATGACGAATCTGCAGACGAAGCCGGCTATGGAGGTGATGGAGATGAGGCAGATGGAGAGGATGCAGGGGATGCAGACGAAGCCGGCTATGGAGGTGATGGAGATGAGGCAGATGGGGAGGACGCAGGGTATGCAGACGAAGCTGGCTATGGAGGTGATGGAGATGAGGCAGATGGGGAGGACGCAGATGCAGGCGGTGCTTATGGTTACACAACTGCCGACGAAGGGTGAGTCAAAGGGTAAAAGGAGGGACCCTTAATAAGGACCCCTAGGTATATACCCTTAATATAGCTATTAGATACCCATTATATAGCCCCATTATAGGGTAGGGGTCCCCATTAAGGGTCCCTCCTTTTCCCCTTTGAGTGAGGTTTGAAGCTCCGGCATCCAGGGCTCTCCTTCTCACCTGCCTCCGAAGGAGTTTCCTTAGCCTTCGTAGCCCCAGCAAAGTTGAACCGGACCGTATCTAAACCCCCACCTCTTAGACTAACAGCCCACTTAATATGAAAATGAGCCAATAGGCAGGTTTAGGACCTGCTCCAAAACCAGAACGGCGCAAGCCTATGCAAGGGCGAGCTCAAGGGCGATAAAGTCGTGTAAAGAGCTTTATCAAGGCTTCAAGGTGGGAATGTTTTAAAACCGCGTACTGCCACGTACGCACAAGAGTGCGCGAGCGAAGCGCAATGCGATTTTCGAGTTTCGGGCTGCAACCAATACCCAGGGGCCCCAAAGTAGTTCCTTTTTAGGGTTCAAAAATAGAATCCTATAAGGTAATCCCAAAAATGAACTATTATGAGGCCTCTGGGTATACATGAAGAAGACAGCCCCAGCATCTGCGTGGTGGCAACTCCGAAGGAGCATGGACACCTGCCGCAATTGCTGACGACACTAGTGCAAGGAGGTATATACACAGAACGAACTGCTGCAGTTGACATGATAGAGGACGAACTTTGACGGCAGTACACGGTGACCTGTGACATCCACTATTCGCTGGGTTTGTTGGTTTCGTGGTGTTGTTGTTGCTGTTGCTGTCAGTGCTAGCTGTTGCCGTGGCTGCGGGTGTGGTTGTGGTAAGTGGTTGTGGTTGTTGATGCGGCTGCGTCTGCAGCTGTGGTTGTGGTTGAGGTTGTTGTTGTTGTTGCTGCTGGTGGTGGTTGTGGTGGTCCTGGCGGTGCTGCTGGTGGTGGTGGTGGTGGTGGTGATGGTGCTCGGTGGTGGTGGTGGTGACCGTAGTTTCGCTATGAGCATTCCCGTTCTTGTTCTGGTTGCGGTAGCAGCTGTACTGGCAGTGAACTTCGACGGTTTGTTCGTCGTATCGGTGCCTAGCCTAGCCGTAGCAGTACTGTTTGCAACAGCCTTAGTGCTGCCAACACTTGCTTGTTACTCATAGCGCTAGCATCATGTACCTACTGGTATCTTTCAGCTTTCTAGATGCTAGTGGCATGCCAGCAGTTCGCTCTGCCAGCCTCTTTTCCCATTGGCATTGATGATGACCAGCATTTTCCGATGTTGCTGGTCCTCGACTTCTCGCAGAACGGTCGCTGTGACGCGCTCATCAAAGTCGCCAGTTGTGGATATTTGGGTGTTGTCAGTGATCATGTATGTTTCGCCTCTTTGCCAGACTTACACGCACTCAAACGTGCGCATGCGGCTTGTTGACATTCATCCTCGTAGGTGTTGAGACTCGGGACGTCTGCTTTCGGAGTACGTGCAAAGGCAAGACACCTCAACAGCTGAGTCTTCAGACCTAGAATGCTACACCTTGACAAAGACAGTCTACATGTTTTCCTGAAACCGTAAACCCCTAAAAACCCAAATCCTTGCACAACCCATGCCCACATGGGTGGCTGTCAAAACTAAGGTCGCTTTCGGGTTCCCAAACTATGAGGTGCTATGTTAATTACAAACATATATATATATATATATATATATATATATATATATATATATATATATATATATATATAGAATATATGTATATATATATATAAGTATATATATATAGAATATATAGAAATCTGTATATATATATATACATATAGAATATATAGAAATCTATATATATATATATATATATATATATATATATATGTTGTACTTTCATATAATATAGTTGTTGTATGTACATATTGGAATATGTGTGTGTATATATGTATATGTATATGTGTATGTATATATATATATATATATATATGTAAAAAGAGGGTTCCCCCTCCCAATTAAGGACGAGGATTTTGACAACTGCCCACCTGTTCCGAAATTCAACGCGGAGACTCACATGCGCTACGGGTCCAAGTAGTCCTTATTTATGGTTCTTGGTCCCCAAGCAGGCCTAAACAGGCCCAGAGGTCCCATAATATTGATTTCTGAACAGGCGCAAAAGTCCTGTAATATTGAATACTAAGCAGGCGCAAAAAGTCCTATTAATAACCCTAAACCTTAGAAGCTGCCCCCACCCTGTAGTAGTGGTATAATAGGAATACAATAGGGCCCTAATATAATCCTATATAGTCCTTATGGTCACTATTACAGGGTGGGGGCAGCTTCTAACCTAAACCCTAGACTCCCTAGACCCTAAACCGTTATTGAGTACTTGGACCCTTAGGGACGCTCGTGGCAGGCGCTCGTGGCGGGACGCCGTCTCAAGGAACCGGTCTTCAGCTGCCCAGCCGTTTTCGGTGGGGTTTAGGGTTTTAGGGTTTAGGGTTATTTAAAATTAGGGTTTTGACTATTACTTCATTTCTACTATTGTTATTTTTTGTTTTTCACTAGTAGTATTAGCACGCCGACTATTGTTACTGTTTTTACTACTCTTATTGCTATGATTATTGTTGCTTTGAGGGTTAACCTCTTGGGTTTGGGGATTTTGACCTTGGCGGAAATTGACCCCAAACCCCAAGCACAACTTCCGCGCTTGCAGATTTTTGAAGTTCAGGGTCTCTCCGTCACAATAGGGCATGATAGGGGTCTTAGGAACTAGAAATGGGTATTCGGCTATGTTGACGTAGAATCATAATAGTGGGCCTAAGGAATAAGATTACCAACTCTTCGGGCTTCTGTTTTACCTTAAGATGTTTGTGACTTGACTCCTTAGCCAGGCGATACCCTGAACTTGTATGAACTTTGGAAAGCGAAATTGGAAAACCCGGAAGCTGCATTTCTAGTGAGGCAAGCATTCTCGCCACGATAATGCTGCCAGCAAGAACTGTTGAATTAAGCTAAGGTTGGGCACCCCTGCAGCAAATACAGCTGTAACAGATTGGGAAAAGTAGTAGTGGCGATAGCCGAGACGACGCATCACCATTGTCAGCATCACCGTCATCAACAACCTCATCCTCATCCTCGTCATCGCAGTCAGCATCACCATCTCCATCGCCGTCACCACTATCATTATCTTCGTACTCGACATTCTCGTCACCGGCCGCGCCACCACCACCATCATCATAGTCATCATCATCATCATCATCGTCATGAAAGTAATTAATCACCATCGTCGTCGTCATCGTCATCGTCACCGTCGTCATCATCATCACCAAAGTAATTAATCACCATCGTTGTCGTCATCGTCATCGTCATCGTCACCGTCGTCATCATCATTGTCGCCATCGTCATCGTCATAATCATCATCATCATCATCATCATTGTCATTCTCACTCTCATCACCCTCGGCAGCACCAGCACCACCACCGCCACAACCATCACCACCACCACACCACCAACAACCACCGCCAGCAGCACCATCATTATCGTCATGAGCATCAGGATCATCGTCGTCTTCTTCATCTTCATCATCTTCGCCTTCATTTGTATCGTCCTCATCATGACAATGACCTTTGCGTGTTTCACGCTATTGGCGTGGTGCTTGTAGTTGTCACCATTTCGTTGTCTTGGCAGCGAGGCTTTTTCTTGGGCGATGAAGAAGATGGCCAACTGGTGCTGGGTGGCGTTGATGATCGACACTTCGAAGGTAAGTTCCACTTCGTGCCGGTTGTGACTCGGAGCAAAGACTAGGTAGGCCATTGGGACATTTTATATTTTCCCTTATTTGGCTTAATTTAAATAGGACCCTATTTACGAATATTTTCAGAGGCTTTAAAGGGCCAACCTAGAGAGGTGTACCAGGGAATCGAGAATTCATCCGAAAGGCCTGCTGCAGACTCCAACTCGAACTTCGGCTGAACGCTTGCTTCCCAGACATTACCCATAGTAGGCCCCATAGTAGTTCCTTTTTGGGATTGCCTTATATAGAATTCTATTTATGAACCCCAATGAGGAACTCCTATGGAGCCTATGGGTAGGCATGTGGCGAACCTGTTCTCACAACACTAGCCAGGCCTGATTTCGGAGATGCTTCCGCAGGTTTGTGGCAGGAGGTGTCACGCAAGAACCCAGGCAGAGTTCCTAGTTGGGAGAACTGGAGAGCTTTCTCCGCCAGACTTGTTTCACGAGCTGTCTTGGAGTTATGTGCGATGCCGCATGCCACATTTGGGGCGAAAGCTTTGCGGTCAAGGGTCAAGGCGCAAATTACCGCCATGCTAATCCAGGAATCGGACAAGGCCTATGTAAACCCCCGAAGCACCGAAACTTAAGGTTTAGGGCCGCTAAACCCCAAACCCTAAACCGTTTAGGGCGGGCGGGCTGTAGGTTTTGGGATCTGGGCTTTAAGGTTCCAGCGCCCGCATTCCCAAGCACCATACATCAGCAGCTGCATGCCGACTCAGGTATCCACCGCTTACTGGCAGGCGCCGAGCTTTTTTTTGGTAGGAATATACATTCTGGTGAGTTTTATTATGGGGCTTCTTCTTGTCAGTGTCGGGGAGTGCATATCTTGGGCATTTAAAAATAGTAGAGTATTTTTGGGATACTAGTTGCTAGTGGCCAAAGTCACACAGTATCAAGCAACATGAGGGTGTTTAAGCCCAGAAGCCCATATGTTACAGCGTGCAGACCTCGGCATTTCCGAAGGCAGCCCGCCAGGAAACATGCTAGACTCTAGACTGCTTTCTGCAAGAATTCTTGCCCTCAAGTGATCTCCTGGTCTTTGGCAACGCTTGCCCGGAGCCTTGGACCTTAAACCCGGTATCAGACGCCTCCCCGGGCCGAAACTGATCCGATGCCCACCCACACCCGAACCAAAGGACCCAATAATCAGGTACTTAATTGGGTTTAGGATAGTAGTTTTGCAGGTTAATACTCGGGAGACTCTATGATTACTGGGTACTTGGACCCTT